AATTAATAAAAAAAATTTAACCCCAGCTCATCCCTCTGGTCAGGTGCATTGGCAAACCCCTTTAATCCCTGAAATTGGGAAACAGAGGCAGGCAAGCCTGTGAGATTAAGGCCAGCCTGGTCTATATAGTGAGATCCAGGCCAGCCAGACCCACATAGTGAGAACCTGTCTCAAAAACAAACAAACAGGAAAACCTAAGAAAAGTCTTTGTTTTGCTGAAATTTTGGCATTTGATGACAGTGTTCCAAAAACCTAATGTCCTTTAAAATGTATTGTGACCTAGGATTCCAAGCCACTGTTTCTGACCAGCACTCAGGAGGCAGAGGCAGATAGATCTCTGTGAGTCCAAGACCAGCCAGCCTGGTAGTCTACACAGCAGGTTCCAGGTCAACCAGGACCACATAGTGAGAACCTGTCTCAAAAACAAACAAAAAAAGAAAAACAAACCCCACCTCACCCTTTGGCGGGGGCAGGTGAGGAGTGGGGGAGCTACTGAGGCTCCTGGGCAATACCTCGGAATAGTAGAAACAAACATCTGCCGTTAGAGAATTTGGGAATTCATTTTCTTTTCTTGGCAAGACTTTGTAAATTCGGGCGGTCAAATTTGTGTCCAACCTATTTTAGCTTGTGCTGCGCTGTGCTGGGGACACCAGGATCATCGAGTCTGCCGGGGGCAAGCCCTTATTTATCCCAGGCCACTGGGTCCCAGGTGTATGAAGTCTCGAGTCTTCAAAGTCAGGCAAAAAAAATTCCAGTCAGAGGGAACATTCCAGGAGTCATAAGCAATACAGGAGACGTGCGCTGACATCATGTCTATCCGGGGTCACCGTGCCTCCAAAGCATCTCGGTTCCCTTCCTAGTCCGTAGAAGGTGTGTAGTCCGTTGCCTTTGGTGGAAGTCCCACATCTAAGCCAACTGCATTCTCTCATGCTGCAGACATCTTCATCTATGGCTCTGTCCATCCACAACCTGTCCCAGTGGAAACTTTGGGATGTCCTAGCGGAAGAGGTGTCTGCGAGGGCGCGGGGTCGGGTCCAGGCGGTTCCACTGTCCCCATCCGGAGGCCTCCACTCTGGGCCGGGTGAGTCAGCCCCCGGCGGCTCCCGCGTCATCCCGGCCTCTCGGCTCCGCGCTATTTCGAGCTCCGGGCACTATAAATAGAGGCTCGCTGAGCAGAGGCGAGCCGCCCCCCTCTGCTCGGGCCCCTGCGTCCCCGGCCCGCCGCGATCACCCGCCCCACGTCAGCGCGGCTAAGTTTAGAGGCGGGTGGGGACACGGCCTGGTCACTGCACCCTTTGAACCTTTGAGAGTCGCTGTCTGGCTGTCCAGCTTCTTTTTGGTCCCACACTCCAATTCTCCACCCTTTCTGGGGTGCAAAAAGGACCCCAGGTTGAAATGGGGGGACGCCTGTAGGAAGAGAGCGGGACCGGGTTGCGTTGGGTGCGAATTTGCTGCGTGAGGACAAGTGGCATCATTCGAACTCACTGCTCCAGGAGCTGGAGGATTTGTATCTAGGGATACAAGTCTCAATGTAGAAATTTAGCTCAAAAAGCACACTCGGGAATAATGTCCAACCCACGGCAACTTTTCCCGCCCTTGGCTATTGCAGACAACTCAAAGTCACAACCACAGGTGGTGGGGACACCGGTGAGGAGGGGGAAAATCCTGTGGTGGCCTTTCCCTGGGTCCTGGGCATCTCTTTGTGGTCCAGCCAAACTGGACTAGGAATCCTTTTGCGGGATGCCGGCGGCCCCTGGCGGTAGAGACAAGCGTTGCAGGCTTAAGGTTGGCTGGAGAAACTGAGTCACGTTCACGTCCTTGGGTTGGCCCTTTGGATTTGGAGACACGTGTGCCTGGTACTTTATATGGCGGGGGCTGCTCTCCGGGCGTCTGTGCAATGGGTGAACGTGAACAATAATACCGTCTTCACAGGAAATGTGCTGCTCAGGGCAGGGGGTTTTGTGTCATTTGGTGGCAACTGTGGGCCCAGGGCCTGGCACTTATAAAAGTGGTCAGTATGTAGCATTCAAGGCAGGAGTGAGTAAACCCATCTGCTTTTGATATTTGTTTGGGGTATTGCTTCTTTTTTTCTGAGACAAAAATCTGAACTCTATAGCCCAGGCTACCCTGCAACTCACTATGTAGCCCAAGCTGGACTCAAACCCACTGTGATCCTTTTGCCTTCCACTCCTGAGGGCTGTGATTACAGATATGAGCCACCATACGCAGCTCAGTTTTGAGTTTCTTTGTTATTTGTTTTGAGACAATATGTAGCTCCAGCTGGCCTGGAACTCTCTATGTAGACCAGGCTGGCCTTGAATTTACAGAGATCCACCTCCTGCCTTACAGAGATCCACTTGCCTCTGCCTTCCTTAGTGCTGGGATTAAAGGTGTGCACTACCACACCCAGCAGTTTTGGGTCTTTTTAAAAAATTTATTTTAAAAGTTTATCTTATGTGTATTCGTGTATTGCCTGCATGTAGGTAAGTGCACCTGTGTCCTGCAATGTTGGCTGAGGACAGAAGAGGCTGTCGGATCCCCCGGGACTGGAGTTACCGACAGTTGTTAACTGCCATGTGGGTGCTGTGGATTCGAATCCGGGTCTTCTGCAAGAACAACCAGTGTTCTTAACCACTGAGCCATCTCTCCAGTCCCAGTTTTGGGGTTTTAAAAAAAGTTTTATTTGGGCTGGAGAGATGGATCAGCAGTTAAGAACACTGGTGGTTCTTGCAGAAGACCCGGATTCAAATCCCAGCACCCACATGGCAGCTAATAACTGTCCGTAACTCCAGTCCCAGGGGATCTGACAGCCTCTTCTGACCTCCTTGGGCATTGCATGACATGGGTGCACTTACCTACATGCAGGTAATATGCACATACACATAAAATAAAAATACTAAATAAAAATTTTAAAATGTTTTATTACTTTTATTTTATGTGTATGCGTGTATTGCCAACATGTGTGTAAGTGCACCGTGTCTTGCTATGCTCACAAAGATCAGAAGAGGGCATCAGATCCCCTTGAACTGGAATTATAGATGGTTGTTAGCCACCATGTGGGTGCTGGGAATCAAACCCAGGTCCTCTGCAAGATCAGACAGTGCTCTTAACCAATGAGCCATCTCTCTAGCTCCCAGTTTTTGGTTTTTGATATAGGGTCTTTCTTTATAATACAAGCTGGTCTCACCTACAGCAATCCTCCTGCCTCAGCCTCCTCAGTGCTGGGTTTACAAGTGTGCTGATCTCCACCACACTCTGATGAGCAAGCCTATCTCATGCCAGGACCCTGATGCCTTACTGAATCCTTCCAACCTCAGCAAACAAATTGCAGATAGGGAAACTGAGGCTTACAGTAGGAATGTGCCTTGCAATGGGGCTGGGTTTGTGTGGTTTATGAACACAACACATAGCTCAGGGGCCCCTGGATGTCAGGCTTGTGTAGGGCACACTAATGTGATGGCAGCTGAGCTCTCTCCTTCCCTACACTAAATCAAGAGCTATCTACTATAGACAAACCTTAGTATATCTTCTACTGTGTATTAAGTACAGTGGCACAGTGGTAGGACATCTGCCTAGAATCCCCCAGTGAGAGGCTTAGGGTGTGACTCAGTGGTAGAGCACCTGCCTAGAATCCTCAGCACACCCCCAAACACACACACTAAAACTAGGAAAGCATTAAAATTAGTAGGGGCTGGAGAAATTCCTTAGCAGTTAAGAGCACTGGTTGCTCTTTCAGAAGACCCAGGTTCAGTTCCCAGCACCTACGTGACAGCTAACAATCATCTGTAACTCAGGTTCCAGGGATCTGATGCTTTCTTCTGGCCTCTGTGGGCATTGCATGCATGTGGTGCACTTACATATATGCAGGTAAAGCACCCATACACATAACATAAATAAATCTTTTTTTCTTTAAATAGCAGACTATACATTGTGGCTTTAAGGGCATTGCCTCCCTCTTTTTTTTTTTTTTTTTTTTTTTTTGAGACAGGGTCTCCCTGTAGCCCCAGCTGTCCTGGAACTCACTATGTAGACTAGGCTGGCCTTGAACTCACAGAGATCAAAGGTGTGCGCCACCACCCTGGGCTCATTGCCTCCCTCTTAACACACCAGGAGCAAAAGGATGGGAAAAACTGATAAATTCATACAAACACTGACAATTCCTAAACAAGTAAAGTGAAAACACGAAGAACCAAGAGGAAACATTTAGCTATGGACATGACTAACAGGATCGGAGTCCAAACAGCACTCCAATAAATTAACAGTAATAAAAAGATGTTCATCTCCTTTGCCCCCCCTCCCTTTACTTTAAAAACTGTTGAATTGAATTGCTCATTAAAAAAAAAAAGGTTAAGGATATGAGCCAAGCTTTAAAAAAACGGACAAAGGAAATGAGCAACTCACAGAAGACAAAATACATAAGGCCATTAACTCCAAAAACGATATTCTATTTCCTTAGTAATCAGAGAATTGCAAGTTAGAACAGAGTGATACAAACCTACCAGGAAGTGACTAACACTAAGTCATCAGCCAGGTCTCTGGGCTCAAATGTCTCTTCCTCCAGGAAGCCGTCCTGACTCCCCAGCTGGGTCAGGTGCTTCCCCCAAACAGGTCCTCCCCCAGTCCTGCCCACTCAGGGTCGTCCCTCTCTGGGGACATGTCTGACTGTCCCATTCCAGCGAGGTCACCGCTGTCACCAACAGAGCCTGCTTGGGGTGGGAAATGGCTTAGAATGAATGAGTGGATGTGGAAACAGGCCAAGTTCAATTCTATTCTCATTGCGAGGAGGGAGGACCTGGTTTGATCTCTGATTTTTACTGCTTGATCTCTTATTTTTTCTCCACCGAGCCGTGTCTGGAGCCTAGGAACACAGGAAGAACTCAGTAGGGCTTTGAAACTGAACCACTCGGTTTCAAACACTCCCAGACACGGAGATCCACGTCTCTATTCGCCCCCAAACCTGCACAGTCCTCCAAGACCATAGAGAGCAGCGCAAAGACCGCTCTACCGCCCTGAGGAACAGCGAGACGAGAGGCGGGCCAGAGCGGCCGGAAGTGCGGCGACCTAGGGCCAGCGCTGGCCGCGCTGGCAGCGTGTAGTCTCGATTCCTCCCCGCGGTCTTTTCCTTCAGGCCTGGGGAACCAGCAGGTGAGTCCTGGCTGTGTTGAGACCCAGAGGTAGGGCCGAGAGTGGCGGGAGGTGGAGGCCGCAGGTTGATGATTGGCAGTCGAAGAAGCCAATCAATATAGAGTCTGAGACAGGGCCGAGGCTGGGCGTGGCGAGTGCGTCCAGGTGTGTTGCCTGGGGGCGGGGCCAACCGCTTGTCAGTGGGGGAGGGGTGCGAATAGAACGCGGGCTCGAGAGGGGCGGGGCTAAGTGGAGTGTAGACCAGTCAAAAGCGGGGAGAGATGAAGAGGGCGGGTCCACGGATTGGGCGTCTAGGCCCCAACCCTACGGAACGGAGCAATTTTGTTGGGGGTGGGGCCCGCTGTGAGTGGGGGTTCCCTCTGGAAGGATGGGAGTGCCAAGGGGGATGTCGTCATGCCTCTCAGGCCCGAGATGGATCCTGGGAAAGACGAGGAGGGGTTGCCGCAGCCCCTAGCACCACACTCGAGAAAGAAATTTGTCATCCCGCTGGACGAAGATGAGGTCCCTCCTGCAGGGGTAAGAGCAAGGACATGGGGGCTGTTGGGAGGAAAAGGGGCAGGAAGGGACCTGGGAGATCACAGTGTGGGGTGTAGCAGACCTCAAAGGCCTGGGTTGCTTTGGAAAAATAACCCACTGCCCCCTGTCAGTCTCCGTTTCCCTGTCTGTAACATGGCAGAGGGGTTAAGACAGGGCTACGTCACAGGCTACAAGCTGGCAGCCTGCAGGTGGGCCTCTGATTTGTTTATTTGGATTTTTAAAACCGGGGTTCATGTTGCCTGGGCTAGCCTTGAACTTGAAATGTAGCTGAGGTTGGCCTTGAACTTCCTCCAGCCTCCACCTCTCACGTTCTGGTGTCTAAGCAGTGGGCCATGGGATTTTTTTATTTTTTACATTTAGTGTGTGTGTGTGTGTGTGTGTATGCGCATGCCACAGGACACATGTGGAGGTCAGAGGACAAATTGTGAGAGTACTTGTGGGAGTCAGTTCTCTCCTTCCACTATATGGGTCCCAGGGATTGAACTCAGGTCATCAAGCCTTGGCAGCAAGCACCTTTATCCACTGAGCCATCTTACTGGCCCTTTTCTTTCCTTTTTTTTTTTAGACTTGGTCTTTTTTTAATTATTATTTTTATTTTATGAGTATGAGTGTATTGCCTGCATGCATATAAGTGCACCTGTGTTCTTCAATGCCTGCTGAGGTCAGAAGGGGGCACTGGATCTCCCTGGAACTGGAGTTATGGACGGTTGTTAGTCACCATGTGGATGCTGGGAACTGAACCTGGGTCCTGTGCAAGAGCAGCCAGTGTTTTTAACCGCTGAACCATCTCTCCAGCCCCCTTCTTTTCCTTTTTTTAGACTTGATCTTGTTATGAAAGGTCTGGCTGGCCTAGAATTTTTGGGAGGCAGAGGCAGGCAGAACTTCTGCCTCAGTCTCTCAAGTGGGGTTATCACAGGTGTGTACCACCACAACACACTCAGACTGTTCTCTGCTTCATAGGACAGGCAGTCTGGATTTTCAAGATATGAATTTGGATCTGACATGTTTTTTTGTGTTTCTTTAGGGGTGCTGCTGCCCTCATGTGGAGGTGGTGGGCAGCGCTCTCCTATCATATAGGTCCTGGGACTTGAACTCAGGTTGCTTGGTGGCAAAGTGACCTTACTTGTTGAGCCATCTCTCTGACACTGAATCTGGAAAGTTTCGTGGAGGGTGGTATCCCACATCTTTAATCCCAGCACTGGGGAGGCAGAAACAGGCAGAACTCTGAATTTTAGGCCAGTGGGTCTCTGTGAGTCTGAGGCCAGCCTAATCTACATAGTGAGCACCAGGCTAGCCAAGGCTACATAGTGAGACCCTGGCACAGAACAAATAAGCAAAATAACAGCAAAAAAAAAAAAAAAAAAAAAAAAAAACACACACACACACACACACACACACACACACACACAAAGAATTGGAGAGTTTAGGAATTTTTTAAAAATTGGAGGGCTCAGTAGTTAAGAGCACTTGCTGCTCTTGCAGAGGACCTGAGTTTGGTCCCATAAGAGGTGTCTTCAAACTGCCTGTAACTCTAGCTCTGGGTGATCCAGCACCCTCCTCTGGCCTCCATCTGTACCTGCATGCACTTGACAGATACATATACGTACACATAAATAAAAATGAAGAAATCCTAAAAAAAAAAGGTGGGGGGTACAGGAGAGATGGCTCAATGGTTAAGAGCACTGGCTGCTCTTACAGAGGACTCAGGTTCAGTTTCCAGCACCCACATGGCAGTTAAAAATCATCCAGAGGATCCAACACCCTCTTCTGACTTCTGTGGGCTTTAGCACTTACACACATGCAGGCAATATACTCATACACATAAAACAAGATAATTAAAAAAAATAATAATAAATCTAGCTGGGTGTGGTGGTGCACGCCTTTAATCCCAGCACTGGGAGACAGAGGCAGGCGGATCTCTGAGAGTTCAAGGCCAGCCTGGTCTACATAGTGAGTTCCAGGACAGCTGGAGCTACAGAGAGACCCTGCTTCAAAAACATACACACACACAAAAAGAAATCTGAGTTGGTTGTGGTGGCACCCACCTTTAATCCCAGGATTGGAAAGGATTGTCACAAGTTCAAGGCCAGCCTGAGCTAATAGTGAGACCCTGCCTTTAAAAGAAAACAAAACAGCTGGGCATGGTGGCACATGCCTGTAATCCCTGTACTTGAGAGGCAGAGGCAGGCAGATCTTTGTGAGTTCAAGGCCAGCTTGGTTTACATAGTGAGTTCCAGGACAGCTGGGGCTACAGGGAGACCCTGTCTCAAAAAGACAAAAAAAAAAAAAGTATTCACTTTTGACATCATTTGGTAAATCAAAAGATCTGGCCACACTGAAATGTCCTTCCTGTAGGACAACAGCTGGAGATGAATACTGGTTGTCGCCATGTGCAACAGGGAAAAGAAATGGGGTGTGATGGAGGGAGGAACCAATCGCTTTAGACAGGAAGGCTAAGGGAGGAACTCTGTGGAGGTGACATCTTGGCAGAGTCAGAGAAGAGGTGATGGAGTGGGCCATGCTGAAAGGAGGTGAGGCAGTGCAAAGGCCCTGAGGCTAGAGAACCTGACAAGTCAGAGCCAGGAGAAAGCCAGTGGGGCCTGAATAGAGCAGGAAAGGGGCAGTAGTTGGAGGTAGGCTTCCTGGGGCAGGGCTCAGAGCAGATCCAGGATGTCCTGGGCTATGGTGACAGCTATGACTTTTACTCCAAGGCCCGAGCCAGCCATGGCTTGTGAGCAGAGGAAGGACATAATGATTTGTGGGCAGGTGACCTCATTGGTTCAAGTGACACATGATGGTGGCTGGAACCAGGGTGGAGTCCCAGGGTGAGAGGAAGGTTGAGACTTGATTCAATTAATTAATTACTTTAGAGGCAGGGTCTTTGTAGCCCAGGCTGACTTCAAACTCACTAAGTAGCTGAGGACCTTGAACTCCCAATCCTCCTGCCTCCACCTCCCAGATGCTGAGATGACAGACATGCACCACCACACCTGGCTCATGCAGTGCTGGGGATGGGATCCAGGACTACCCATGCTTTGAGACCCAGGGCCTTGCCCATGCTATGAGGCCCAGGGCTCAGCCCAGGCTAGGCAGACGTTCCACCAGCTGAATCACATCCCAACCCTCTGTTTGGATTTGAAGTCCCAGTCCTGGAATATTCATAGAAAGAGGATCAGCCAATCAGAGGAGGGGAGGGACTTTAAGTGCTTCTTACTAAAGCCCACAATCCTCCTTTGTCCCCACAGGCCAAATCCTTATTCAGGTCTTCACTGAACCTTCCCACTGTGGCGACTACTGTGGCAACCTCAGCCCAAGGGGCCCCTCAGACATATGCAGAGTATGCCATTGCCCAGCCAACAGGAGGTGCTGGGGCCACAGGTCCCACAGGCTCTGAACCTGTGGCAGGAGAGAACCCCAACCAGGCTCTGAAACCTGGGGCAAAATCCAACAGCATCCTCGTGAGCCCCCGGCAGGTGAGGGGGAGATGGAGCACTGAGGTCCTGGTGGGAAACTCCACTATAACTCGGCTATAGGGATTGTGTTGGGACAGTGGAAGGAGATCTGAGGCCCGTCCACTGTGTTTGCTGCAGCTCCCCGTGTTCAGTCCTTCATGCATTCATTCCTTCCTTCATGCAGGCATTGGTTCCTTTGTTTTTGCATTAATTCCTTTATGCATTAATTCACTTTTATGTGAGTGTGTGTGTGTATCCCCATTATTCATCATTCATTTATCCACATGTGGGTTAAGTGTGCCCTAAATCTTTTTCTTAGGGCTACAACTATCTTTTTTTTTTTGGTCTTTTTGAGACAGGGTCTCCCTGTAGCCCCAGCTGTCCTGGAACTCACTATGTAGACCAGGCTGGCCTTGAACTCACAAAAATCTGCCTGCCTGTGCCTCCAAGTGCTGGGATTACAGGTGTGTGCCACCACACCCAGCCTATCTTTTTAAAAATTTTTATTTATTTATTATGGCTGGGCATGGTGGCACATGCTTTTAATCCCAGCACTTGGGAGGTAGAGGCAGGTGAATCTCTGTGAGTCCAAGGCCAGAGTAGTTAACACAGGGGATTTCAGGCCAGCTGGGGCTACAGGGAGACCCTGTCTCAAAAAGACCCCCAAGAATATTTTTTTTTTAATTTATTATGTGTATGAGTGTTTTGCCTTCATGCATGTCAGCGAGCCACATGAGTGTAATGCCTGTGAGGCCAGAAGAGGGTATCAGATCCCCTGGAACTGGAGTACTGATGGTTATTAGCCACCATGTGGGTGCTGAGAACCAGACCCAGGTTCTCTGCAAAAACAGCCAGTGCACTTAACTGCTGAGCCATCTCTCCAGCCTCACTGTGACTGTCTTTAGGTAGCTCTGCTCCTGTCCCCAGATTTGTTCATTGGGTAAAAATCTAAGGACCATAGCTAGGAAGCTAGCTTATTCTGTGAATGTCTTCTGTTCATGCAGGAGGACGGGCTGTTCACACGGGTACTGGGGACCCCAACTCGTGTCCTCATAGGTCCTCATTTTACTGACTTGACCACTTTACTGAATGAGCCTGTATTTATTTTTATTGATTTGTATTTCTTGTGGGTCTGGGGCCTCATACATGCTAGGGCCACCCCCCAGCCTCTCCAAAGTTTAGTCATAAGGACTGTGATAGAGGGCTCTGAGGGAGGACTATCCTTGGAGCTTTATGCCTGGGGCACCGTGGGTCCAGCCCAGAACTATGGGAACATTCACACATGTGCTTAGTCACAGGGAAGTTGGGGAACTTTTTTTTTTTGAGACAGGGTCTGAAACTGTTCTGGAACTCCCTATGTAGACCAGGTGGCCTCAGTTTCAGAGATTCATCTGCTTCTGCTTCTGCCTCCCAGCTGAGTGCTCAGGATTAAAGGTGTGTACCACCCCACCCTACATTCTGTCCTTTTGAGTTAAGGTGGCTTCTGACACAGGCATGTCTGATGGTGTCCCTGGCCACTGGGGTGCACTCAGCCTTGAGCCCCTGCCTTCCCCAGAGGTGAGGGTGGGGCTGACATTCCCACCCTTTATTCTGAGCTTGGTCTCCCTGGGCACCAGCCCCTGTTCTAGGCCAAATAGCAGACACCACGAGTCACCCCGTGAGAACACAAAGTACTCCTGTCCCCCTGGAATTCCACAGTGTTTAGGAAGTCCGTGTCAGATGGTATCTAATCACCCAGGAAATTGCAGAAGTCTGGAGAACTCTGTCTGAGGAATCCGGGGCAAAGACCACAAGTCAGAAGCAAAGGCCATCCTCCTGTCTCTGTCCAGAAGGGTTTCAGGAGGTCTGTATCTGGAACCAAGGGCAGAGGCCAAATGTCCATGTCTGTGTCCCCTGGGAACATAAGGACCTTGGCCTACCCTGGTCACTACTGTGTCCCCAGTATGGAGACACAGTGTGTGCTCAGTAAATGCTTGTAGAGTGCAGGCTTGCCCAAAGCAATTCAGTCTTGGGCTGTGGAGTGTGTGTCTCAGTAGAGCAGGAGGGAGGATTAGACAGAGGAGGGCCTATTGAGCACACAGCCTTGGACAGTCTGCTTTCTCCTGGGCACTGGAGAGCCATGGCAGGGCTTAGAGCAGTAGAAGGAGCAGTTTGTGGCTTTAGGATGATGCCTCTGATTACCATTTGCAGAGTGGCCAGAAGAGTGGCCCAGTGGAGGTCTGAGCAACCTGGGCAGTGCTTTGGTGGAGGAGACATCTGTGAGGGATGTTGAGCAGGTCCATGTACCGCCAGAGGAGGAAGAGAGAGGAAGGTGCAGGACAGGCTTGGGCTCTGAACATAGGGTGCCATTTCTGGTATGGAGCTGGGGGCAGGAGTGGGTGGGATGATGCTGAGGACACTATGAGATGGATGTGAAGACTGGTAGCCTACAGGTATGCTGGGACAGGGACTGAAAGGAAGTGGGACACAGGCCCTGTAGTGAGGGTAGGAGGGTTATAGGCAGCTCACAGCTCACATTCTAGGCTGAGGACTGTAGGAAGAGAAGCTGGGGAAAACCTAGGAACTGGAGAGATGGCTTGATGGTTAAGACCACTGGCTGCTCTTGTAGAGGACCCAGGTTTGACTCCCAGCACCCATGTGGCGGCTAATAACTACCTGTAACTCCAGTTCCAGGGGTATCAGACGCCCTCTTCTGATCTCCATGGGTACTACACGACACGGGTGCACTTACACACATGCAGATGAAACATTCATACACATAAAACTAAATCATTCAACAAGGAAATAATTTTAAAAAGACCCAGGGGGGCTGGAGAGATGGCTCAGCAGTTAAGAACACTGACTATTCTTGCAGAAGACCCAGGTTCGAATCCCAGAACCCACATGGCAGATGACAACTGTCTGTAACTCCAGTTCCAGGGGATCTGACAGCCTCTTCTGTCCTCTGCAGGCATTACACGACACAGGTGCATTTACCTACACGCAGGCATAACACTCATACACATGAAATAAAAATAGTAAATAAAATATTAAAAAAAAGACCCAGGAACCCGGTGGACATAGGGTGGGAGGTGTTGGGAGGAGGTGGAGGAGGGGTCGACCTGATTCTTGGTCCAGGGGTCACCCCTGTAATTGGCTTCTGACCCTCTCCCTTGCAGAGGGGCAACCCTGTGCTGAAGTTTGTGCGTAATGTGCCCTGGGAATTCGGCGAGGTGATCCCTGACTATGTGCTGGGCCAGAGCACCTGCGCCCTCTTCCTCAGGTGAGCTCTGAGGCACCATGGAGGCTGGAGGGTCCTGTTCCACGATTTTGGCCATTCTCTGGGAGAAGAGGGGCCCAGGGCTGTGGACTCTGGGACTATGCATGGCTCTGTGTTGAAGAAGGGGTTGTGGCCTGTAGGTATAACTGAGCAGGGAGACATGGGTATGAGGAAAGAGGCTGGACTTGGACCCCTGGGTCTGAGGGAGGAGGGCTGGAGTCTAGACCCCTGGGACTGAGTGAGGAGGGCTGGGGTCTGTACCCCTAGATCTGAGAGAGGAGGGCTGGTGTCTGGATCCCTGGGTCTGAGGGAGGAGGGCTGGGATCTGGACTTCTGGGTCTGTGGGAGGAGGGCTGAGGTCTCGATCCCTGGGTCTGAGGGAGGAGGGCTGGGGTCTGGACTCCTGGGTCTGAGGAGGAGGTTGGACCTGTACACCGAGTCTGAGGGAGGAGGCCAGGGATCTGAACTCCTAGATATGAAGGAAGAAGCCAATGTGCAGCTTCCCAGAGCACCACAGCCATGCCACCCTTGCTGGCCTTACCTGCTATGACCCTTCCTTAGAAACCAACCCTGGATAAGTTGCTTTACCTTGGGCCTCTAGCAGGGTTGTCCCTTATGCTGTGCTCGTGGATCCTGGCCTCTTCTGCATGCCAGTGAGGTGAGGCACTCCTGGAGCCTCAGGAGCTCCCCAACCTGTCCTCTCCCCTGCCTCTACCAGCCTCCGCTACCACCACCTCCACCCAGACTACATCCACGAGCGGTTGCAGAGCCTGGGGAAGACCTTCGCCCTGCGTGTGCTGCTGGTCCAAGTGGATGTGGTAAGCAGGGGTCGCCTGGGCCTGTTTCCTCCTACAGCTGAGACTGCCAGGTCTCCAAGATAGCCTATGTTGGCAGGAGACTTAGAAAGGAGAATTATGTTGAGTCAGGCATGCCTGTGATTGATCCCAGCACTCAGGAGGCTGAGGCAGGAGAATCATGTGAGTTCCAGACCAAGCAGGGGTTCAGAGTAAGATCTTGATTCCAAATAGAAACAAAAAATAGGACTCCAGGTATAGCTCAGTGGTAGAGCCTAGAATCCCCCAGTGACAGGATAGGGTGTGGCTCAGTGGTAAAGCACCTGCCTAGAATCCCCCAGTGAGGGAATGAGGGCATGGCTCAGTGGTAGAGCACCTGCCTAGAATCCCCCAGTGAGGGGCTGGGGGCACAGCTCAGTGGTAGAGGCTTTTCCCATCGTGTACTAGGTTCAGCCTTCAGCAATACCAAGCAAAATGTTTGCTGCACATGTCACCTAGTCCCCTGACCTTCTCCATGCCTCTTGAACCTGGTTCTCACCCATTACCACAGCTCCTATCAGATCCAGGTCCCTCTTCCCCTGTCCATCATCCTTTCTTGTTTTGGTCTTTTTTGAGATGGTCACCCTGTAGCCCCAGCTGTCCTGGAACTCACTATGTAGACCAGGCTGGCCTTGAACTCACCAAGATCCGCCTGCCTTTGCTGGGATTAAAGGTGTGCACCACCACGCCCGGCTTTAGTTTTATATGTGTTTTTCCTGCTTGTATGTAAGTGCACCCATGTTGTGCAATGCATGTGGAGGCCAGAAGTGGGAGTTGTATTCCCTGGAACTGGAGTTATGGACAGTTGTTAGCTGCCATGTGGGTCCTGGGAACTGAACCTTCTGTAAGAGCAGCCAGTGCTCTTAACCACTGAGCCATCTCTCCAGCCCACCCCCACCCCCACCCCTCATTGTTTTTGAGACAAGGTTTCACAGTGTGGCCTGTGGTGGTCTGGAACTTACTACATAGCCCTGATTGGCCTAGACCTTCTGACAGTCCTCCTGCCTCAGCCTCCTGAGTGTTGGTATTACAGGTGTGAGCCAATGTGCCTAGCTCTCTGGCCTCCAGCCTTAACCCTCCTGTCCTTACAAAGCCTCCTGTAAGGGACTCTCTAATGCACAGATCTGGTATCAGCCTTCCCCTACTCCAAACTCTTCCTTGGCTCCCTAGCACTCTAGGAGTGAATTCTCCTCCCCTCCATGATAAATGGGGGCCTGTGTCATGTGACCTCCAGCCAACCCCCTAGGCTCATCCCTATGCATCCTTTTGTTGTTGTTGGGGTTTTTTTTTTGGTCTTTGAGACTGGGTCTCCCTGTAGCCCCACCTGGAACTCACTATGTAGACCAGGCTGGCCTTGAACTCACAGAGCTCTGCCTGCCCCTGCCTCCTGAGTGTTGGGATTACAGGCATGTGCCACCATGCTTGGCTTGTTATTGTTTCACTGGGGCTGGAGAGATGGCTCAGCGGTTAATACTGGTTGTTCTTGCAGAAGACCCGGGTTTGAATCCCAGCACCCACATGGCAGCTAACAACTGTCTGTAACTCCAGTCCCAGGGGATCCGACAGCCTCTTCTGACCTCTCCGGGCATTGCAGGACACGGGTGCACTTATCTATATGCAGGCAATACATGCATACACATAAAATAAAAATAATAAATTAAGAAAAAAAAGTTAAAAAAAATATTTTCACATTTATTTATGTTTGTGTGTATGTCTGTACATGTGGACACGTGTGTAGAGGTCAGAGGACAGCTTTTGGGAGTCGGCTTTCTCCTTCCACCATGTAGGTCCCAGGGATTGAACTCATGTCCTCAGGCTTGGTGGCAAGCACCTTACCCACTGAGATATCTCACTGGCCCGCTAATCTTCCTTGGGAGCACCATCTGTCTCCTAGCCTCCATTCTGTATTGACTAAACTGCAGTTCCTCAGTACTCTAGTACTCTATATGCGGTGCTCTCTGTCCCCGTCCCCTTTGCTTCCTTCAGTTCTCAACTTCCAGGTCTCAGCTCAGGTGTCCCCTCCTCCAGGAGACCCACCCAGATCTCTCAGGCAGGCTCAGGCCCTTTGATGGCTCCTGTATTCAGGCAATCATTGGTGACTGTAAACCTGGAAAGGCTGAGCCTAGGCTGTTTCAGTCACTGGTGGGACCTGGCATGGCCCGGCCTAGGCCGCATATCTAATAGGAGCTTAGGGGATTCAGCAAGTGAAAGGATTTCTGCATCCTAAACTTTTTAAAATTTTTCTTTATTTTCTTTCATGTTTATTTATTTTTCGTGTTTGTGCGAGGTCATGCACACATACGCATGTGCCACAGAATGGATGCAGTGGTCAGAAAACAATTTGTAGCAATGTCTTCTCTCCTATCATTGGGTTGTGGAGATCAGACCAACAGGTTTGGCTACAAACACCTTTACATACCGAGCCATCTTGCCTGGCACTAAGCTTGGTTTTGTGTGTGTGTGTGTGTGTGTGTGTGTGTGTGTGTGTGTGTGTATGTGCATGCGTGCGTGCGTGTGTATGCCACACTGAACATTGGAGTTGGTTCTGTTCATCCACCACGTGGATCCTGAGGATCAAACTCAGGTGGTGTCAGACTTGGAGACAAGTGCCTTTACCTGCTGACCCATATCCATTGTATTTTTGTTCTTTTTATTTTTTTATTTACAGTGTCTCCCTGTAGCCCCATCTGGCCTAGAACTCACTATGTAAACCAGGCTGGCGTAGAACTCACAAAGATCTGCCTGCCTCTGCCTCCCAAGTTCTGGGACTAAAAAAGGCGTGCGCCAGCGCAACCGGCTATTTGTTTTTTGAGACAGGGTTTCCCTGTAGCCCCAGCTGGCCTGGAATTTGCTATGTAGACCAGGCTGGCCTTGAACTCAGAGAGCTCTTCCTGCCTTCTGCCTCCTGAGTGCTGGAATTAAAGGTGTAGTGCCAACATGCTGTCACATTCACTGTATTTTTGTGTATTTTTGTTTGTCTTGAAATAGGGTTTCACAGTGGGACCTGGGGCTGACAGCACTGGGATTCTAGGCGCATGCCCCACACCCAGCTTTTTAAAAAGTCCATGCTAGGGACTGAACCAGGTCTCAGCTTACTACCTGTTTTGTCTCCCAGCTTAACTGTGGTATTTTCAGACTGTAAACCTCTATTTGTCCCAGGTGTCTCCTTCTGACATTCTTCTCTTCCAGAAAGATCCTCAGCACGCCCTCAAAGAGTTGGCTAAGATGTGCATCTTGGCTGATTGCACACTGATCTTGGCCTGGAGGTGAGACACAGGTTCCCCGACCCTGCCCACCACACTGGCCTGTTCAACCTCTTTCAGGGTTTCTAAGCCAGTCTTGGTGGAACAAGCCTATAGTCCCAGAGCTCAGGAGGCTGAGGCAGGAGGGTCAAGAATTGGAGGCTAGCCTGGGCTAAGTAGTAAGATCCTGTCTCCACCCCAAAACTCTGTGTGCCTGGTGCACACAGAGTCTCTCTGTGTCTCTCTGGGTCTCCATATTCACACCTGCAAGATGGGGTCTTAGCTTCTCTTGTATAGTTCTAGGCATGAAGGTGGGTGGAAGAGGTTAGAACACTGATTCCCAGTTAGACCTAAAATCTGGTGTTGTTTGTTTTTTATTTTTGCTAACCTGGAGCTGGCTATGTAGACTAGGCTGGACTAAATCTCACAGAGATCCGCCTGTCTCTGACTCCCAAGTTCTGGGATTAAAGGCATGTATGTGCTACTCCACCTTCCCAGTTAGACCTAAAATCTGACTGAATGAATCCCATATCTAGCATTTCTGTTTTTTTTTTTTGTTTTTTTTTTGACAGGGTCTCATTTAGTAGCCTAGGTTGGCCTAGAACACACAAGCAATCCTCCGCTTCTTCAGTGCTGGGATTATGAGTGTGCATCAGCACGCCTTGTTTCCATATCTAGATTTCTAGAGGCTATTTAATCAGCTCTCCAACAAAAATATTTCAGAAAGAATAAAAGACACCCCTTGCTCATACTATAAAGAAAATTAAACCCTCATAAATTCAACCTAAAAAGAGAAACTTCAGGGGGCTGGAGAGATGGCTCAGAGGTTAAAAGCACTGGCTGCTCTTGCAGAGGACCCTGGTTTGGTTCCCAGCACCTACATGGCAGCTAACAACCATCTGTAACTCCAGTTCCAGGGGATTTCATACCCTCTTCTGGCATCGACAGGCATTGTACACACATGGTGTGTACTCACATACATGCAGGCAAAACACATAGACAGACAATAGCTGGGTGTGGTGCACACCCAGAGGCAGGCAGATCTCTATGAGCTCCAGGCCAGCTGGAGCTACAGGGAGACCCTGTCTCAAAAAGACAAAATAAAGACAAAAATGTAAAAAGAAACATCAATAAAAGTATTTAAGAAGACTGGGATGGGGCTCAGTTGGTAGAGTGCTTAGGTAGCTGGGGAGGGGTTGTTACTAGAGTGCTTACCTAGCATGCACAAAGCCCTGGGTTCCATTCTCAACATTTCATAAACAGGCATGGGGGCACATACCTTTCATCCCAGCACTTGGGAAGTGGAGGCAGAAGGATCAGAGTTCAATGTCATTTTCAACTACATAGGGGGTATAAGGCCAACCCAGGCTACTCATAGGGGTGAGATACATGAAACCCTGCCTCAGAAAGAGAAAAAGAAATCTTAAGCTGGGTGTGGTAGTACCTCTGTGTAGCAGGAGGATCACTAGTTCAAGGCCAGGCAGGGATGCATAGCCTGTCAGGTGGTGAGGCTCAGTAGTAGATCACCTGCCTAGAATCCCCCAGTGAGGGGCTGGGGGTGGCTCAGTGGTAGAGTATCTGCCTAGAATCCTCCAGTGAGGGGCTGGGGGTGTGGCTCAGTGGTAGAGTATCTGCCTAGAATCCTCCAGTGAGGGGCTGGGGGTGTGGCTCAGTGGTAGAGCACCTGCCTAGCATGTGCAAAGTCCTGGGTTCAGCCCTTAGCATTGCCAAATCCTCAATAAAAGTGTGAGGACCCTCCCAGCAGGAGTTACTGCTGAGGACAGGAATGGGAAGGCTGTATTGATTTAGTGGTAGTAACTGGTAACAGTCTGATGCAAAGATTAGAGTCCTGAACCCTAGTCTTCACCCTTGCTGACCCATGTCCTATCACCCAGTGCCGAGGAAGCTGGGCGGTACCTGGAGACCTATAAGGCCTATGAGCAGAAGCCTGCTGACCTCCTCATGGAGAAGCTGGAGCAGAACTTCCTGTCCCGGGTGAGCCCGCCTCCCCTCCCTGCAGCTCCTGGGTTGAGGGTTAGCTCTGTTCCTAAAGGGAGTCCATCCATGTCTGAGGCCCTCCTTTCTTGCCCAGTCCTTCCTCATCCCCTGTAAGTACAAACCAGATCCTGTCTTCCTCAGCTCTGAATTCCTCCATGGCTCCCCAGTGCCCTGTGGGGAAACCCTGCCTCTTTATCCTCTGTAAGGATCTGAACTCCTAGCCTGCTAAGCCACATCTACCACTGGTTCCCTCTGCTCTAGTCCATATTTCCCATCCCAGCTCTGGTGTTGCCTCCTCTAGGAAGTATTCTAGGATTCGCAGTATAACTCCCCCCCACCCCCCGCATCTTGGTCTTCACTGTGTGGAACTGATCAGTCTTCCCCCATGGGTCTAGGGGCCAGTAGTGCAAGACTGGATCTATTTTGGCCCTGCTGGGTCCCCAGCACCACCCACACTCTGTGGACACTTGGAGGGTGTCTTGTAAATGAATTGATGACTCTGGTGGTTCTCCTCAGAGAAGGTGACCCAGCCACAGTGCCCAGTAGACAGCCAGGGCCTTGTGTGGACAGCTGCATTTGAAACTCCTCCCTCTCGGGACACTTCACCTCCACAGCCTAGTTTACCATCACCCCTGTGCAGAAACTGTAGCCCAAGGGACACAGAGAGAGAGGGAAGGGATTCACCCAGCACCCTATCAGCAGGGCTGGCAAGGCTAGGATTTGAAGCCAGTACCCATCCCTCCCTCCCTCCCAGGCTGTGTTGCAGCCTTTCCTTTCTTTTCTGCAAGTATTGTGTTCTATTTCCTTTTGTTTTTTGAGATGGGCTCCCAATGTAGTCCTGTCAGGCCTGAAATTCGCTGTGTGGACCAGGCTGACTTCAAACTTGTAGGAATCCCCTAAGTTTTACAGACATGTGTCCCCACACCTAGGTCCCAAGAAAGCATCCCATCTTCTCCCCTTCCAGGCTACTGAGTGTCTGACCACTGTGAAGTCAGTCAACAAGACGGACAGCCAGACCCTCCTGGCCACTTTCGGAGTAAGAAGCATGTCCCCTTCCTATTTGCCCACAAGCCTGCACCTCCCCGAGGGACCCTGACCCCGCCCCCAGCAGGGTTTACACCTCCCCATCCCTCTTCCATCTTTGCCAGTCTCTGGAACAGCTCATCACAGCATCGAGAGAAGATCTGGCCTTGTGCCCAGGCCTGGGCCCCCAGAAGGTAAGAACCTTAGGGACAGGCTTTGGGATTTGGGGACAGGAGTGAGCTTCAAAGCAGTGGGATTTTAGACCTCAAAGTTTTAAGGTTTTTTTTTCCCCCAAAATTTTAAACTATTTTTTTCTTTCTGTATATGTTATGCCTGTATGTATGTAAGTGCACCCATGTGTGCAATGCTTGTGGAGGCCAGAAGAGGGCATCCAATTCCCCAAAACTGGAGTTACAGTTATTAGCCTCCATGTGTGCACTGGGAACCAAACCCAGAAGAGCAGCCAGTGCTCTTAACTACTGAGTCATTTCTGCAACACCCTCACTGCTTCCCTACACTTTTTTGTTGTTTTTTTGAAACAGGGTCTATGTAGCTCTGGCTGGTCTGGAACTCACTATATAGACTAGACAGGCTTCCAACTCAGGGATCCACATACCTCTGCCTCCTAGTGTTGGAATTACAGATGTGAGCCATTATGCTTAATGTAAGGTTCTTAAAAAAAATTTTT